AACTCTCATTTCCTCGACCATACCATGTACATTTGTAAATTAATTTCTGATGAAGTTTATTGATTAAAATTACAAATTATTGTCATATATCCTGCACGATGTCGGTTGAGGCTTGAATACCTCATTGATATCATCTCAAATTGTGAAGTTGAGTAACATAGGTTCGAAATCAACTAGTCAGATCAATTCAATAACGATTGCAAATAGGCCTAACTGATAGGTGTAAACTAATACCAAATATCGTTTAAAGAGAGTTTTCTTTTAACTGATTCAAAGCTCCTAATATCACATAGTAGTATTCTGATCTTCAAACATAAATATCATCATGAAGCTGAAATAAAAGTCAACTCTATTCAATATAAAATTATCTTCAGATCAGACGAGACAGATTATGACTTCTTAGTTGTGTTACGTTGTGTTCATGTAATTAATACACAAAATCTTAAGAGTTTCTTTTTGACTTATAAATGTCGATGGTTTATCGAATTTTCATTTTCATTTTCTGATTGTCTATTTGTTATAGAAGGAGTTCACTGGACGAATACGATTTATGGTTTAATGGTTGTTGTTGTTGTTGTTGTTGTGGTGGTGGTGGTGATGGATTATTTCTGTTATCGGTCAAGTGTAAGTCATTAGTAAAACAGACTGTATAAATAGGTGCTCCTAATTATCCTGCAATGTAATAAAAGCTTAAAGTCATGGTAACATCAAATAATCATTGTTGTATGACACATGGGTATGTCTAAAAATATTCTCTATTATATTATGCACTGCTCATGAAATACTATTCCCTTAATATTGTTTCCTTGTATCTTCCCTTTGTTTATAACTACAACGGATCAATCTCTTGTTACGGTATGTGCATCCTCTGTGGACTGTTTCGATATTGCCTTCAGTCACAAATACATATTATGATATTCAATATAGTACGCATCACATTCACTTATTAGTAGTAGGTATCAATAACATGTACTATATTTCAAACAGTTAATTAATACATTTCAATATCTGTTCGTTTGTTTATAGACCACAGTATAATAAACAAATAGCTTTTAATTCCGAAGGAGTTTTCTGAATATTATAGTAATTTTAATAGTTCAGATCATGAGTCAATCTAAACTGGATCACTGTTGAAAACCTGGAAGCACTGGATAGCCATTTCATCCTATTGTGGAACTTCTCTATGGCAGTGTGTATCCACGATTCCACTCGCACGATTCATACCCAGTACCTATCGATCTCGTGCGCACGAACTCTTAAACACTAGACCACTAAGTCGATATTTTTTTTTCCATTCTTCTTCTTCTTCTTCTTCTACTTCTACTTCTTCCTTTCCTTCTTCTACATTGTGTCGTTATGATCTTATATTGAATGAAAAAACTTATCTATTAATTATTATTATTTTCTTTTTCTTTTTAACCTTCTATTTTTCTTTTTACTTTATCGAATGACCTTTTGACCTGTGTACACTTCCACAAAATAAAACATAACGGAAGACAGTAATTAAATGAATTAAATGGTAAATCATTTTTCTACTAAAAACAAAAAGAAAAAAACATTTTTCTCTTTGCGGTTTTCTTTTGTATAAAATAAAAAAAAAACTATTCAATATTGAAAATTAATCGATTGGATTCAGTTTTACTGTAGTTGTCTCGATATTATTATAACCTTTCAAAACTGTTTTACCTGTGTGTGCGTGTGCGTGTGAATGTGTGTGTGTGTGAATGTTTATGCATAGGTATGTATGTATGTGCGTGTTGTTGTGTTCAATTCCAATATCTAAATTATATTCTAATCTGACTAAAGTCAGACTAGTAACTATGATAAAATAATTTCTATTCACCTATTTATATCTCTATTTTGTAATGACTTAGATGATGTAACATTAACAGGTAGATATTAGTGAATGTAAAAAGAAATTATCGTATCATCAGAAGGGGTTTTGTGGAGATTGTAGTCATTTCAACAGTTGAGATCATGAGCCAGTTGAAGCTAAACCACTATGGAAAACCTGGAAACACTGGAAAGCCGTTTCGTCCTAGTGTTGGACTCATTAATAGTACTCTTGTACGATCTCACCTACTGAGATTCGAACCCACAACCTATCAGTCTCGCTCCGGGCGCTTAACCAAGTAGACCACTCAGCCGGCATCCAACGGTGTTAATATGAACAACCATTTATGAAGCTTGTGACTTAAGGCAGTTCGTATAGGAGGCACGTATACCAACAAATGGCTGATCAATTATAGTTCTAAATAACATTGGAAAGATATAAATAAAACAACATCAAGTGAACCATTTACAAAGGTCAATTAGAATATGGTTGTCAAAACTATAAAAATAGTGTAGTAGTAGTAGTAATTTTAAAACTGATAACCTGAGTTACATAGCAATTATAATAGATGCAAATGGTTTACATTGGTTTTAAGAAATAAGTAGGTTGAAATCACAAATAAGTTAGTAATTTAATAGTTGAATTCATGAGTCAATCTAGACCACCATGAAAAACATGGAAACCCTAGATGGCCGTTTCGTCTTAGTATAAGACTTCTCAGTATTGGGTATCCAGGAGCCCGCCCATGGGATTAGAACAAACGACCAATGGTCGAACTTTAATTGACTCATGAATTCAATGACTATAGTCCATAAAAACCCCTTCTAATAATAATCATCATGCGCTCATTGGTGACTGGATTGAAGAGGTATTTCCTGGAGTTCTAGTGAGAATTCATGACCAGTGGAGTTCAAACAGGTCTGTTGTGAGATAATAAGTCACGGAACACAGTAGTGGATGTGTCGCTGAATTTCATGGATTAGTTAAAGTTAGACATTAACACCGTTGAATGCCAGAACAATTGTCTAATAGTTAAACGTTCGCGCGCTACACCGATACATTTGTATTCGACTACTGCGAGTGGGATCGTGGAGGTGCACTGCTGAGGAGTGACACAATAGGACGAAAAGGTCGTCTAGTGCTTCCAGGTTTTTATGGTGGTCTAGCTTTGATTGACTCATAAATAATATTTGGCTAAATTATGTTTACATAAGAAAATATAAACAATAATAACTGAGGATGATTTTAAACAAAATTATGAATTGATCATGGTAGCGATTAATTCATAATGGACTCTCTATGTAAACATAAATATAGATTTCGTTCTTTAAAGAACACAACTATTCCATTATAATCACTTGGTGTTTCCTAATGAAATAAAGAAAATGCCAATCATGAGAGGGGGGGTATGTTTCCATACTTCAGTATTTATAGTAAGACTTTTTATTTGTTAAGATGCGTACTTAGTGAGTAACAACAACAAATAATTCGAATAGCACTAATGAACTAAAAGAAAGATACGGTATTGATCAATACTCAATGATTATTCAATATAAAAATATGAACCCTATAAGATGGGCGGCCTGCTCGAGCATCTAGGCTACCTGTTCTTGCCATCTAGATATTTTAAAAAGTTATCTATTTTTCGTTTGTTTTAATATATGTCATTATGTTTATTAATCGCATGATCTATTCTGTTGCGTCTCTGAAAAGTGTACAACCTTTCGTTGTCAAAGTTACAAAAAATTCAATAAGAAACAATGTGGTTGCTGGAAATATACAACGAAAAGAATGTACATTATACAGATGTTCATTTGCTGGACTGCTAACATCTAACTGGCGATCCCTCAATATTTATCACCAGGATCGACCAAGAAGAAAGAAACGGAAACTTGTTGAAATACTTTACACTGAGAATTCTATATTGTACCAATAATATAATATTGAATAAAGCTGATGATGATAATAATGATAATGATAAGATAATAAGTCAGTTGCTGTCTAATAACTCAACGCTAACATGTTACATTGTAAAACTGGGTGACATGGTTTCTAAGCCTATATGAATCACTATTTCTTCAAAGATTTGAGGTATATCTCACTGAATAGTCCTAATTAAAATGCGATCTAAGTCAATCAGGCATTCCTATCGATTATCTCAAACCACCTGACATTGGATAATGTTTACGAACACCGATAATCGGTTGATATTTTACTGAGTTGGTATATGTGGTATTTCTTATTTCCATAAAAATTAATAAGTATGGAACGTGAAGAAATAACAGATAATATCATATTAAATCATTTTATATTTTCTAATCAAATATCATGCTTTATAAGCAAAGATGGATAGCGGCTATCAGTGGCATCCAGGTTGACTAGAACCCAGTACCATTCGTTTCAAACGCCATCGTGTTATCTACTTAGGTAATAAGTCCTGATAGTCATCTGCTTATGCGATGAGGGGAGTTCAAATTTACTTGGTATAGTTTACTTGAATCGTCCCACTGATGTTTAGCCGTAGAGTGAACATCAACTCTGAAATAAAGATACATCCAGATGATGAATCCCCAACGGGACGAAACGCGCGTCAAATTGGATTTCACTGCTAGTCTATATATATATATATATATATATATATATATATATATATATATATATATATATATTTACGAATATTCTATCCGCCATTTTGGGGCCTATTCCCAATTATCTGCATACAGGAGTTTGGTTTATGGAAGATATATGTTATGTTATATGATCTGTAGTGTTTAACATATTACGAATTAACGAAAGGAATCCCTTTAAGAACTGTCAAACACTCTGTCCAACAATGTGAATTAATGTTTAAATAGTGACTGCATCATAACTTCTATATGACTGAGCAACTATTCTTCAAATTATATATCACTGTATGTTATGATTTTCATAGTGAAAACACACAAGTCAATTATCGGTCATAAAAATGATTTAATTTCAAAGTGTGAAAAGTATACTTACTAGTTAATGAGAAAAGTAAACAATAAACAACAACAAAAACACAACTACTAAGAAGAGTTTGTCTTTTATGAAAAAAATCAATTCCGTTGACGTTTTCCTTAAGAGACTATTCGATTGTATGTGTTGTATTTATTGTTATGCAAACACACACATAAACAAACGAAAATTATACTATTAGGTGTGTTTTCATGTGCAAGTTCATATGGACAACATCATCATCATCATCATCATCCGAAGCATCATCATCATCATCATCCAAAGCATCATCATCATCATCATCCAAAGCATCATCATCATCATCATCATCATCATCATCCAAAGCATCATCATCATCATCCAAAGCATCATCATCATCATCATCCAAAGCATCATCATCATCATCCAAAGCATCATCATCATCATCATCATCCAAAGCATCATCATCATCATCATCCAAAGCATCATCATCATCATCATCCAAAGCATCATCATCATCATCATCATCCAAAGCATCATCATCATCATCCAAAGCATCATCATCATCATCATCCAAAGCATCATCATCATCATCATCATCCAAAGCATCATCATCATCATCATCCAAAGCATCATCATCATCATCATCCAAAGCATCATCATCATCATCATCATCCAAAGCATCATCATCATCATCATCCAAAGCATCATCATCATCATCATCCAAAGCATCATCATCATCACACCAATCGCTATTATTAACTATTTTCATCATTTGGTGTCAATTGTTTCGATGTGTATTTTCGAGTCATCCTTTCACTCAATCTCCCTCTTCACACTCTTGAAGTACACGATCTAAACGAGTTCAATCAAGGATGAGGTGTTGACTAATGAGTATGGTGGTTTCTCATATTAATGCTCCCTTATTTTAGTCTTTCATACTCCAACTCATCTCAATCTCTCTACTGAATTACATTGATCTACCCAATTCTATTCATCAAAATACTCATATATTCTCAACTAATTATTTTCAACCATTCTAATTACCTTAGTTTTATGTTTTATTCATCCAATTAGAAAATGTTTTACACTAATCATTCTCCTATTAACTTTCACAAGAATATCTACTCTGATTGATTGACATTTATGTAATACAATATATATATATATATACACCAGAAATAACTAAGTATATAAATAAGATGCCGGTATTCACTGCATATATATTCCTCATTCACAATTAATCTCTCACCAATGATTTATGTTACTATGTCTATTTATTATTTAGTTTATCAAAATAAAAACTCTTTTACAACCACCCACCCATCCATTCACCCACCATTTTTATCCATAATCAATTCATTTCATTAATTCTATCCATTTAGTTATCAATTCATTGAAATGATTCCTTTGTAAGGAGAACAAACAAACAAACAAACCCCAAAACGGAAGTATCCAGAGTAAATCTCTACTTATACAAAACTAATCAATTGTATCCATTTTGTTGTTGTTGTTGTTGTTGTTGTTGAAAGAATTTTATTTTTCAGCCTTTTTTTTTACTTTTCTTTTTGTTTATTCAAACCATCTGTTCAATTGTCAATTATTCTTATTCTTATTCTTATTGATAAATCAGCATGCGTATCCAATATATGTAGTGCATGTGAATTAGTGTTTATATTCATTCGGAATATATGTTTCTCTCTCTCTCTCTCTCGGTCTTTCTTTCTTTCTTTCTCCCTCTCCCCCTCTCTCTCACTCTCTCCATTGCCATCTCTGTGATATATTGCCACGCCTAATACATAGACACAAGCGTTATACATACACACACGCACACACACGGAGAGAGCGAGCGAGAAAGATTCTTTGTTCCCAATGTTTAAATCAATCAGTCAGAAGAGATAAAATTGATCAATAGAAGTAATTTTATTGTTTATTTCTTTTCGTCTAGTCTTTGTTCATGTATACTTCTTTCTTCTTATTATTATTATTATTGTTATTATTGTGTTTTGGTCAGTCTATAGCATAAATGACAGTCGTTTACATTGAACATCTACATTCACATTCACATTCACATTCACATTCACACACACACACACATAGATACACACACCAATAAATGAATACTTTTCTCTTAACAATAATAATAATAAAGATACCGGATTATTTCAATTTATAGTAGACTGTTATAGTTGTGATTGGGACGAGTAATTATTTATCATTATTATTATGAATAATTGTGAATCTATTTGACGTGATTTTATACATTTTGTATTAGCTTTTTAATTAGAATAGTTTCTTTTTTAAATAATATAAAGAGAGATAGAGAGATAGAGATAGAGAAGGGATGTAGGTATATCCGGTTGATGAGTTCTAAATAGGACGAAACATGAGTCAAACTGGTTTCCACTGATAACCATTATTCATCTTTGCTTAGAATAGTTTGTGACTTAAGGTCATATTGAAGCTATCCACATAGGATGCATATATGCTAATAAGAGACTGATGATCAATTACAATTCTATATAACAATGTAAATGAAATACTGTGATGGATTATTTATTAATGAAATTAACATTTACTCACTCCACATACTCATATAATACAGGTTAAATCCTTCAGAGCATTGTGTTAATAATAGAGTTACTGGTTATGGATAACTTGTACTAGTCAATTAAAAACTCTGTATTTAGATTCCGTGCTAGTTCATATTAAACAACAAGGCATATATACAATCTTAAAGAAACAAAAATTACCGGTTCATACCGAAGTGACTGAGCTTCACATTCTGAAACCATACCAGTAAACTATTTGAGCAGTTCGTAACTTCATCGATAGAGTTACATCAACTTTGAAGACTGAACAAACATAAAATTGATCATTATTATTTAATAATCAACCAATGTAATTATTTCAGTCCTACAGGATGAGTCTAATTGCACTCGACTTTCCACAAATAATTCTAGAGAATTTCTATTCTGACAGCTATTAGGAAAATTCATAACATACATCTCAAATTCTTTCACTGAGATTTTACAACTACATTCTTCCTTTTTAATGGTTCACATTAACTAGGCGCCCAAATATTATGAAACTGTTCGTTCAAATTTAGATGAAAGTTCTTATTTATAGATCTTTGAACTTCTAAGATTTATAACTCCCGTCAATCGTTTGTTCAAGTCTAGTATGAATAAGTCGAGATGAAACAAGTGACGACTAACACTATCATTTTAACTCTACAGCAAACCATATACTCTAATACAAACGCACAAAAAACATGATTACACAATCACATATGCAATTGGTTAGCAACAATAAGAAATATTACCGATGATTTGCATTAGAATGTTTATGTCCAAGTCTTTACATAATAGATAAATACAGCATTTCCAATCTCTCTTCATGATGAATCAACTTAACAGACATATAGAGATTGACATTGTCAAACACAATTTCATTGTTCTAGTGTAACTATCTTCAAAGATATATTCACTGAATGTCGTTGAAACTCAAACCGTTTTTGCTGTTTTACAAGATTAGCTTCCATCATGGATACATGTAAATTGATCAATATAGTTATTAGTTATATGCGAAATTTGTCTAATAATTCTAGTTCTATTGAGAAGTCATGACCAGTGGAGTTCAAACAGGTCTGGTGTGAGATAGTAAGTCACTGAACATAGTAGTGATATGTCGCTGAATTTCATGGATTAGTTGAAGTTAGACATTAACACCGTTGGATGCCGGCTCAATGATCTGATGGTTAAACGTTCGCGCGCGAGACCGACAAGTCCTGAGTTAGAATCTCGCAAGGGTGGGATCGTGAAGGTGCACTGCTGAGGAGTCCCACAATAGGACGAAACAGCCGTTCAGTACTTTCAGATGATCAATCATGATCTAGCTTAGATCGAATTCAATCACCTTTTTGATATAGTAAAGAAATAATCTTTGAATATGAGATGATGGAGATGATTTATAGCTCAAGTGAATAAGTTTGGTGGATAGTCATTTGATCATGGAGCTTTCATTAATGAAAAACTTTGAATATATTTATCACTAAGTGGATTGATATTTATCTAAATAAAGAATTCATATCTATTCAACCTTAAATGATACAATGTATGATAGGTGGTTTGTTTGTTTTATTCTTTTAAACAGGAATCCATTTCAATTATTTTAGTTAATTTAAAGTAGAAAGACAATTTGATTTGTGATCTACACATGAATCACGATACATCTATGTACTGTACAATGAAGTTAACAATAAAGTGAGGTCAATATAATGAAATGCAAAAATGATAACCATCTAATATCCGTATTCATTTACTTTGGATGTATGTTTGTGTGTATATGTGTATGTATAAGTATAGATTTGTATATTCACAGTTGTACACATATTTATTACTATTTTAATCGATATGTGAATACTGAATAAGATGACAGATAAAGCACTAAACTTAAATAACTGATCGAAATAACTTCCTAACAGAATTCCCAGAGTACAAATGGAACAACTGCTCCAACGGCAAGACATGATGATATCATAATATGTCAAACTGATAAAGTTAGATAGATAGATAGATAGATAGATAGATAGATAGATAGATAGATAGATAGATAGATAGATAGATAGATAGATAGATAGATAGATAGATAGATAGATAGATAGATAGATAGATAGATAGATAGATAGATAGATAGATAGATAGATAGATAGATAGATAGATAGATAGATAGATAGATAGATAGATAGATAGATAGATAGATAGATAGATAGATAGATAGATAGATAGATAGATAGATAGATAGATAGATAGATAGATAGATAGATAGATAGATAGATAGATAGATAGATAGATAGATAGATAGATAGATAGATAGATAGATAGATAGATAGATAGATAGATAGATAGATAGATAGATAGATAGATAGATAGATAGATAGATAGATAGATAGATAGATAGATAGATAGATAGATAGATAGATAGATAGATTTATCTTTATGCTACTGAAGAGAGTTAACACAAAAATTTGAGCTGAATAATATGAATTCATTTTATCCCGTCAGGTTTGTTTTCAGCGTTTACAACTTGTAATAATGAAAAGTTAAAATTGTAAAATGGATCGAAAATACTGACATAAACGGATTGACAATATAGGGTTGTGGAGATTGTTAAGTTCAGATTGATATCATGAATGATTTGATGTTAAACCATCATTGAAAACTTGGAAGCACTGAACGATCATTTCGTCCTATCATAGGACTCTTTTGAAGTCCGTTTCTACGATCCCTCAGGCGGGATTCGGACCCAGAACCTTCGGTTATACGCGTAAATACTTAACCTGTAGATCATTGAGCCAGCGTCTAACAGTGTTAATGTCTAAATCCAAAAAATCCATGATATTGTGTGACCGTCCACTATTATATTCACTGCGTAACTGCCTCAAAAAAGACCCGTTCGAATCCCACTGGTCATGACTTCTCACTAAAACTCCAGGAAATCTATCTTGAATTAAGTTAAGATTCATTGTATAGTAAAGATGAAAATAAATTTCAGGGATCAAATACAAATTCCTAATATACATATGTAGAAGAACATTCAATTAGATTAGAAAAGAAAACCATAATTAGAAATAGATGGTTGCATAATATTAATAGTCGAATTCATGAGTCAATTGAAGCTAGATCACCATGGAAAACTCGGAAACACTGGACAGTCGTTTCGTCCTAGTATGGGACTCCTCAACAATGCGCATCCACGATTTCACACACGGGA